TAAGTATCTCTCTCTCTCTCTCTCTCTCTCTCTCTCTCTCTCTCTTTCTCTCCCGATTTCTTTGGCAAAAGAAACATTTTTCAAGATTTTCTGTACCCAGAAAAGTGACAACCCGATAAATTGTCATCTATGCTTGGATAGATCACAGTTTCAGATACGCTCTTGGGTACATCGCGGCCGATCTCAAAAGTTTAGCAGACTCGGTGCTAACTCGCCGGAGTTACGATACTAGAGAGGTTCGTATCTCGGCGTTTAATGGGATCGGGACAAAGTGGCCCGCAAATTCCGCGGCAAAATAAAACGAGATAGCGCGGCGCGAGGCGTGCGCAACTTTTAAAACTACGATGGGAAATGCAATTTACCGTTGATGCGCGACCCGCGCGACAATTCTCCTACTTTGTTCCTACGAGTTAATTATATGCAAACAATTAATTAACCGCGCGCCCATCGGCGAACCGTTTGTCTTCGCGAGTACTCCATCGAAATGCCCCTCGTTCCTTCGGATTATTTATCGCTGGTAATGCAACCAATTTCCGCGACGAATTACTTTAACTAACTCAGATGTAAGTAATTCCCTTGCGCGGATTTTAAAATAAGAATCTACGGAAGAAGGAAATTAAGCTAATAAAGTTAGTTTCGCGGATATTCAAGAATCAAAGGGAATATGTAGTATTAAAATAATCATTCAATATTATCAGCAAATATTTTTTGTATGTCGGAATTAATATCAACAAATTTCCTTTTTAATTCTGGATAATGTTTTTATTTATTATAACGCGCGCAATAATTGTTAATGTAGTTCTATCATATGTTATGTTCATAATAAAATAAATTTGTTCTGTAATCACAACGTACTATTTTTTTAACTTTATTACGTAAAATAACGATTTGTTAATATAATTTTGCCACAGCAGCATAAAACGAGATTCATTATATTTATTTAAAATTTGTGTAAAGTTTTATATTAAATAAATATGTCGTATTAACAGAGTAATGATATTGCTATATTGTGTACTAATATACGAAAAATGAATAAAAGAAGATAAATAAATCTCTGCAGTTCGTTTATAGAGCCTTCCAATTAAATCTTCCATCATGCATCTCTTCATTTCAAAGTAAACATTCATATTATTTTATTACAATGGTTTTAATTTTTTCGTCCAAACATATCCAGTTTTATTTTATCTCTGATATTATAAAAGTAACGGAGATATAGAACTGCAAGATAGATTAATAAATGTAAATCCGATAAATGTAAAATTGTTACTCACCGATTCTCCATTCGGCATTGGCCGTCTTGAATTTTGCAATTAGTTCTGAAGTCCTTGTAGATCTGATTGCAAGGTTTTCCACGCTGACAAAGATTAAGTGCATGATTGCATGTCGGCAATGCGTCTATCGGATATGGATCCTTATCTATAAAAATATTTATTAAAAAAATAAGTAAAAATAAGTATATTCGAAATCATTTATTAAAAATTAATAAAGCAAATAAGATAAAACTATGGATGCAAAGGATATCAATGTGAAACAAAGATTATTAATTTTAATATAAGTAACAACATATATACATAATTTCTTTTTTCTGTGTAACAAATATTATATCTTCTGCATATTTCATATATTTATTTGCGAGGTCAAGATGATTTATTCATTATGCATTTGTAATAGATTATCAATGGATATTTTTATGGATATTTTATGATGTTGGATGTTCTCCCAAGAATAATTGCTTTTCCCTTTGACTCATTTTTATTGAGAAAGTGAAGAAAATAATCTGTTGATCGGTCACTTTTTTATTTCCCCATCTTCATCTCTCTTTTTTATATCATTTTTAAAGTACTTTTATTTGAATCGTATTAAATCAAATGTAAACTATAGATAAACTATATATTAATCTCACAATTGATATATCTCATGATTTATTTTATTCGCGCTAATAATATATATCAGAATGTATTTCGAAAAGTACTTCAACAATCAAAAAGCTTTTGTGGCTAAAAATGATTTGACTATTTGACTATTTGACTATCTAATTGGAATAAGTGCAAGGTAACCAAATTTATCAAAGTAGATACAGCAAGAATTGAGAATTGTCTTTATTTTTTTATCTTATGTCATTTGTCCACATATATTTCTATGACATATATCCTTTGTCATCTTTATATTATATTAAAATCTGTAGTGTAAAAGAATAAATTTTTCAATACAAGTGACTATTTTAAATTAAATCACGTGATCAAACAACAATATCTTCTCTTCTTTCTAGGTAAGATATAGTTTACAACGAGTTTAATTCATTTTTTATTACAAAACTAATTTTACAGAGATGCATGCACTGGCAAAAACTAAAATAAATTCGAGAAAAGTTTACTTTTCCAAAAACGCAAACTATTATGCAGTATCTTGAAAACTTCACAAACTTTTATAATCATGCCTGCGTATATAACGCGGTTTTGACATTTAAACAATTTTTCAAAACCGCGGGTCATTAAGCTTTTAAAGTTTTAAAAAAATCTGCCCGCTTGACACAACATGCAATATAGCTCGCGATTCGCGGGCTGATTCTTTTTGCAATCTTGCTGCCTGCTTCCGCTTCCTTTTTCGAAGCACGAGAGCGAATTTAATCTCATTAAGTGCCGAAGCTTCCTGGTTTCATAGCCGGCGCCGGCTGCGCGGCGGGGTTTCCATTATCCGTCGCGCTCTTGTATGACCGGCTTTCGGCAGGATAAATGTAATTAAGCCGCGATCTGGAGTGGCCTAATTGCACAACTTATTACTTCGTTGAATTATACTTACGCCTCTATGCGCGTTCGTGATTTATCCTAATCTGCGTAATTCGATAATCGATAAGGACCTTCCATATTTCTAATCCTGATTTAATCGTCTACGATTACATGCTATTTACATTCAACAGAGTTAACTAGAAAAGTATTCTTGTCTACAACTTTATACAGATTCATTAGTCAATAATGAGTCAATATTAAGTTAAAAAGAAATTAGGCCAATATGTTAAATCAGAAAATGTTGCATAAAAAAAATTGTCATCGTGGCTATATATTGAACGTAGCAGATTATCAATATCTTACCATTCTCTGTTCTTTTTATAAATCCGAAAATAACTTATTGATATTTGAAATATAAAAAGCTTTTTCGTAGGCAACAATTTTTTCCGAATGTGAATTGAAAATGTAAAAAAGATAATAAATGGGAAATGAAACAAATGAAAAACAGCAGTTATTTAGAAAAGCTCAAAATTCATTCATGGTACACACAAATAAACCGAGAAAAATCGAGAAAATTAACAGCAAAGTTCATCCATAAGAAGCAAAAATATAAAATAGTGAGTGCAAAAATATTGGTTAGGCCTTTGTTTCCCTTGAAAAATAAATGTCCGAATAGCATCTACAGTTGTTTTATTTTAAATTTCGAAAGTCACGTACATTTCATGTCAAATTTGTACGACTTTCACGATGTTGGTCGTAAGAAATTACTGACTTGACACAGAATCGATACCAAATACGTCGATTGACTTCCCGTGATACATCAAATTCCGATTAAAAAAAAAAAATTCAATATAATGGCAAAAATATATAATTGTTCTGTCAATTCACTCATCTTAATACGCGCCTTAATTGTATCACATGGTGTGCACGTCGTACAGAGTTGAATATAACGATTTGCGTATGTAACTAAACGTTAACTTTCAGTTTATCGCTAATATGGATTATTACCTTTCCATTCGACGTAGTCGCACGGGTGGTCGAACAGGAAGTTCTGAAAACTGTTGCAGTCTGGATCGACATGCGGCTCCCTGCAGAGGCACGTTGGTCGGAAGAAAGTGAAAGCCTGCAGGGTACGCAGAGCCGCCTGACACTTTTTCACCGTCACCGTCGAGCATGCCACTGTAACCGGAGAAATTATTATTAAAACGACGCAACAATGTTTCGGTCGGGTGACAAATCACACGTGCGAATTTTAGCACGCGATAGCGGCCATCGCGCGCAAATTGGCTCGACAGTATAACGTATAAGCTGCGTGACTAATGGCGGGCCAAATATAAGTTGTCGTATTGTTTGATAGAATTTATGCAGAATGTTTTATCCGTCGGCGGGCTTACGCGCCATGCTTACACTTTTAAATTGACACATATACGACGACTTAAAATCGCGAATGTGTAAGTGCGAAAAGTTGGGTGGGAAAAATGCGATAAAGCGTTCTCACGCGGATATTATTTTTTTGAAAGCAAATCCGTTCTACTAGATTGTTGTAAAACGCGTGGACGCGAGATCTCCGTGGAACAATTAATTTTTCCACCGATACCCATTCTCGTTTGTTCTCGTTATGTCGTCCGGATAGTTTTGTCGACAACAATCAAAAATCATACAGCGCGCAAATAATTTGACAAGTTACTATCGTTTCCGATAGTCATATTGAAATAAAGTTAATAAAACGATATTAATAAAATATAATTAATGTAAATAATTAGCATGAAGTAAATTATTTATAAATAAATATTAATTTTTGTAGAAATGGATTGTATTATCAATTATCGACGTAATAATTACTTTATTATAATTACTTTATGTGATATTAACATAGTATCAAACTATTCATAATAAGTCATGCAAAAAGTTTAAATCAAACATCCATCAAATGGACTTAATGTTGAATTTAAATTATTTGCAAAATTGAAAAGAAAATGATTGTACAATGTTTAAGTGAACTTATCGTAGCATGTTGAAATATAACGGCAACAATTATTTGTCACAGTATACTCGTACATTAATCGCGCTACAACTAGACGGTGACATTAATGTATGCCATTATTACATAACGTTCGTGCGTGATGTAATTTACTTAATATATTTATCGTAGTTAGTAACCATCTTAACCCTAAGAGATTTATAAACAAATTTAAAATTACATTAACAAATGTAAAATTATATTTATTATAAATCTCTTAAGTATTTATAAATACTAAAATCAATAAAAATATAGAATATTATATAAAGAGTATATTATATATCATCTTAAATAAAATCTTAATATTTAAATATTGCAAAAGAGTATCATATAAATTAGACATTTAATAAATTTTATTGAATTTCGATTTTAATTATAATTTTTTAACACAAAATTTTGTAAAAGGAAATTTATTATGTAATTGCAAAATCTCAATTTATTAGCAAATAAATAATGAATTTAACTAATAATATATTTAAATTAAAATAATATATTTAAATATTTTATAATATATATACAAGGTATCTGATTTTTAATAGTACAATGCTTATGCACAGGTATATCGGATCAAATTGAGCAAGAAAGTCCTTTACCATTTTGCGATTTTCGCAATTAATAACAAATTATTAATTTAATAATTTTTTAATGTTTACATTTATAAATTTTAGTATGACGATTTCCCATTATTTTTATAAATTTTTTAGAAAATATAATTTTTCTTAGCAAGATTTAAATAAATCCGATGCTTTTTTAAAAAATCGTTTTATGCTTTATTCAACATTTCGACGCTCGCGGCTTAATTAGTATAACGTCGTTCGGAGAAAGAATGGAAGTGAGAGAGTGCTTTAATTACTATCCTGAGACACCGTAAGTTTCGTAATAACTGAGCGGTGCCAAGCTATAAGTAATGAATCCAGATGTCGGCGTTACCGTTGACGTCGACGTTGTCGTCGTCGTCGTCGTCGCCGAATGTCAGACAGAAAAATGACGGAGCAGCAGTGCGAAAGTTTCAATTACATTCTGATGTTATCACCTGCCGCTTCCTCATTCCCTTCCCAATTCATTCTGTCGGTTCTAATGTTTCAACCCTACTTCGGACTATACGGACTTGCCCTTGCATCCACGTTCTTTCATTAAACACAAAATAGAAATGCTTAAAAAGGAGTATCTTTGGTAATTTGAAAAACAGAAAATCTTCAGAGGCCAATTGTGTGGACAGAAGAGTAATCTTTTACTGGGTCAGGTCCCTGGGTTGTCCCAGGTCTTTTTAAAGAGAATTAAACTAATTTATATTGATCTTCCGCAAATGAAGTACAATTTTCAACATTGGCCAAAATTGGATGAGAAGTGAAAAAAAATTTACTAATTCATGATTAAAATTTATTAATAAATGACTAATTATCAGTATTACAGGATCAATAAAGTATTTTAATAAAACTATAGTATAGCAAAAATCAAATCTAAAGAGTAACTTACAATAGAGGTTTAAAGGTGACTGAAAAAAATCATATGTATCATAATGCAAGCTAATATGCTGAAATTGTGAAATTTTAAAGCGTTGCTTTAAAATTTATGCCAAAACAATAAAGCGATAAAGCAAAGTAGATATTGTAATAATAGACAGAAATTTTGTGTCATTAATAGAATTTTGCATATCTATCTATCTAATACAGCTTTTAAAAGAAATGTTGATAAAAATAATACTATTATTGTTATAATAAAAATATAAAAAGTTTTAAGTATTTTATTACTCGTAAATGAAAAATATATAAAGTCTCGAACTAATTTTCTGTTTGAAACTTTCTATCTTTTCATTAATTAGCAATCCATTAATAGTTTCAAATAACTATTTTGATTTAAGTTTTGATAAACTTGATAATTACTTTTCGTTACACCGGTTCTTGACAGTTTCTTAGGCAAGTCAATCTATTATCTATAAAAATTGTATCAAATCGAATATTGCATTTTACGAACTTTGGGTGACAAATTGTGAGTAATAAAATTCCACCGAAAGGAAAGTCGTATTGTTAATGACGAATTAATAATACTTGAAAGACATATGCCATGTTTCAAAACAGCCAGAAATAAAAGTTATCTCAGTAATTCGGCGTACTAAAATATACGTATATTTACCGTATATTTCCGTCAAGACTATAATCGGAAATTTGTCAAAATGAAGGACGCCATAATACAATTAAATGGCTATTGCACGAATAGCAACAAGCGGAATAAAACATGACGAACGAGAGACCGTTTCCAATAAATAATGCTAATCCATTATACTGTAAAAGAAAATAATTGACAGAAATAATTAACGATAGTTGAAATATAACTGTGAGAAATATGTAAAAATATTTATATAGCGGAATAATACTACTATAATACTAAGAGAATTAAATTAAATCAGAAAGTTATTTCATATTTATCATCGAATTGTCGAAAACAACTAATTGGTAATTGGATCGTTATAGTAATTTTTAATATCATCGTAAATATCTGATTTTTGTTATTTATGATTAGATATTCTTGCAGATTGCTAGTTTTCGTAAAGTACCATATTCATGCCGCAAAAATATACTACGCACGCGTGCATAGATGTGGAGGAAAAAATTAGAACGAGGCAAACAAACTATCAGCCGCATTAGGAAAATCTGAAAACAGACTTTTCATTCTCGTGCAGCGAGTACGAGGAAATATGTACGAGAATACAGCTTTGAAGTCGGCGTTCGACTATCACTTGCAGCCATGTACTGTATCTGTTTTTGACACATTTGTGTTTTCGAACAGTTGTAATAATTGCGACCAAAAATTCATCGCAATATTGCATTGTGCATAATATTTTTAACTTGCTTTATTGATTAAACAAAGTTTTATAAACATTTGTGCATAATTTATAAACTCTATATTTACTGTTTTCCATACTCGTCGGAATGATATAATAATAGAAAATGAATATTGTAATAAATATTTAATAACATTTCGTTAAATATGCACAAAATAAAGCAAACAAAAATTAGTCACGCAATATAGTCGCGGAATATAAAATATTAATAAACAATCCATTTTTTTAACATTACTTAAGATTATATAAGTATTTAAAATAATATTATATAAAATTGTTATATTTTTCCATTTTGATACATTATTTTGAAAGATTTATTTATAAAATTATTTATATATCTAATTAATATTTAGTAAATCATTAAAATCTCATTATGCCAGAATTTTACTTTTAATATCAATTCCTTTATAAAACTTGATTTAAATTTTAGGCTTTTGCGATTTTTTGTATAATATTTTTATATGTATATATATATATATATATATATATATGTATATATATTACTTTAAGTTACTTTATATATATTATATATATTTAATTTACTTGTATACTTATATATATATTTATTTATTTATTTATTTATTTATTACTTAATTTTCATAACAAGTCGTTTTTCTACGTAACGGGACAAGTACAATCTACTAAAAAGTTTAATTTTTATTACTAAGAATTAGAAAGAAGAATACGAGACTAAAAAATAAAAAATTTACTTGTCGAGGCAATAGTTACAAAAAATTAAAATAAGGCTCGACTCGTTTCGCGAGGTTCTACTCCGCTTTAATTATCGGGGTGTGTATCCGGGAACATCCTGCGGTGATGAACGGCGCCGCGGCTCCATAAAAAGCGCGAGCGTTCCAGAATCGTTCTACCGTGAGCTATAATTCATGGATGGAAAAAAACAGTATCGGAAAAAAATGTGCCAAAGAGGGAGAAAGAGAGTGGTCGGGAAAAGTTGCAGTCTCTGTGCCGAAACTGACGACGCGTATTCTCTCTTCGCGGGCTCGCGCTATCTTCCTCCCGCACCGGCGCCATTGTGCTCGAGGGTCGTGCATGCCGCTTTGGCATAACAACGTACATTGTACTTCCGAACAATGCTATCCTTCTGTCAGCCTGTACAACCACCCTTCTTTCCCCGCGTCGCCGATGCTCCCCATCTTATCGTGCGGCGGGTGTTCATCCCTTTTTTTCGAGCCGGGCTTTTTGAGGGAATAAACGACACCACGATTGACAGTTAAGGAGGGTGCGAATAGCTCGTGTCATTTCGAACAAGCACCATAAAATCGAAAAATTGATGAGCTGACCTTAGGGATTATTTTT